CGGGGGGGGAGGGCCACCCCCTGGGAGGTGCCAGACAGACCCTCCCCTTAGGCCCTGCCCGGTGCCAGCTAGTCCCTGCTGCCTTGCAAAGCGGGTGCCCCCTCTGCCCTGCCAGGCGCTGCCATGATGTGAGGGGAAGAAGCCCAGGCCGGGGGGAGCTGGAATGAGGTGCCTGCTTCCACTGTCTGCAGAGCACAGGGGCTGCCGGGCACTTGACTCTGAACTCCCCTGCTAAAGGCTGTGTCTGTCTGTCTGTCTGTCTGTGTACACAGGAGGAAGGGCCGAGCTCTTGTCACAGGGTCCCCTCTGCACGGCCCCTGCACTCTTGACTACAACGGTGGGCCAGATTCGGCGCGTCCCCTCCAGGGGTGTCAGGCCAGAGATTTCTCATAGGGCGGCTAAAAGGGAGCCTGGAACCTGGCCTGCTATCAGATCGCTGTTTAGCACTCCGTTGCTTTTAGAGGGAGCTTAGAGCCTGCCTCTCAGGGCCAGGCCGAGACAAGGCACAGTTGGTGGGTGCCTGAAAACATCACCCCGAGCTCTAGAAACGCAGCCTGCTTGCCTTGGGCACCGGCCGCTCCCTTGTCCACAACGAACTCCGACCCACACACGGAATCTGAGTTTGGTCCTTGGATCCTGGCTCCGCAAAGGGCGGTGGCTTCAGGTTCCGTGACAGCACACAGCACCCAGCACAAGGGAGCCCTCGCTGGCCTGTGGTCTCCGGCCTCCCGCCCCAGCAGCAACACCGCAGCAGCCAGAGGGGCCGCATGCCGACTCCTGCATGCAGACACCCAGCACTGCCACGCCGTTTCCACAACACATGGCGAGAGCCTTGGACACGGGAGCTCAAGAGGTGTGTAAGTTCCTTCCCAGGGATACAGTGCTGGCTACGAAAGGGCTATCTGCTCTAGCGGAGAAAGGCAGAACAAGAGCCAGTGGCTGGAAGCTGAGGCCACACGAATGCCGTCGAGAAGACAAAACACTCAACAGTCAGGGCGATACCCCTGGAGCAAACCCCCAAGGGAAGCAGCGGATTCTTTCTCTCTTCTAATCCAGAGCAGATGTCCTCCTGGAAGGTGTCACACCCAAATGTTAGGCTCAGTGCAGGAGTAACGGGGAAATTCTGCTGTGCAATCCGGGCAGTCAGACTCAATGATCTTTTGGTCCCTTCTGGCTTTAAAACCTCCGACTCAGTTGCACGGGCTTTCATCGTCCTCGCTCCCTGCCCACCCGGCTCTGTGTGATGGATGCAATGCTTCCATCTCTTGCCCAGCTGGGCCCACCACCCTGTCTGCTGCATGCCTGCTCTCTGGTCCAGCACTGCCGAGCCAGATCTAGAGTTGGTTTGTTGGACCACAAAACCTTTACTTAGCCTGAAATGGCTCCAGAGCGAACCCATC